CTGGCAAAGAGCCATTTCATGTTATGCAACACGAGTTAAAAACAAAAAGCAGTAATACATTAAAATATGACTGGATAAGCCACATATAAAACGGTTGTATTTTTTTGAAGTCTGTAATAATGCATCAAGTAGTGACGTTGCTGTGCAATTGTATAAAAATACATAGTTATACTGTGATTAGACTGGATGAGATGTGGATGAGAGTGGATGTGATGCATCAAACTAAATCTTTCTGCTTGGGGTCACATATTATGCAGTAGATGAAATATGAAATAAACCAGCCCTATCATAAACAAGTCCACAAACATACTCAATATTAAATGATCGCTTGGCAATCAGCTCCTTTATATTTCTGAAAAACCCAGAATAAATAATCTGTTTAAAGTCATGGAAACGTGCTGCAATTTTCAGATCCTATCTTAATTACCCTTAAGAGGCTGGAAAATGAAACCAGATGTTTTCCAGCGAGGCTCTCTATCTGCAGGCTACCAATAGTGATTAATCTAATCTAGCCTGCTTTACTATAGCTAACGGACAAAGCAGAAACAAGATCCATGGAGTTATGTGGTCATGTGCCTGCCTAATCCTGGGTCACGGGGAGTCATGTGATTGTGACAGTACCTTTCCAACAGGGAGCAGGGAGAGAACGGCCTGGAAGAGAAGCCAGAGCAGGACGATACCAAAGACCTGACAGTCCCAGAGAGACTGAAGGGCAGGGAGCTCAAGAGGGAAGCTCTGGAGACTGGCATCCTTCTGCCCGCAGAGAATGAGCAATGCCAACACAGCCACAGGCAACAGAAACATCAGGAAGAACACACCTGAAAGACAAGAGGGAATGGATAATCATAGCCTGTGATTTACTTTAAATAACCTGGAAATAGCTATTTAACATTTAAATGCACAATATTCTGATAATAATTAATATTTAATATTTCCCTGCTTGCTTTTCTGTAGACTTTGAGACCATACTGTGAGACCATATTCTACTATTTTAAAGCTTTTTGTTTGTAGCAAACGTGTTAATTCACATGTTAATATGCAGACCAACATTTTGCATCAGGTTTGTGCTGTGGATGTCTACACAGTCCAAAATCACATTAAATTGCTGAGAAGACTCACCAACTCTTCCTCCGAACTCCAGATCAGTCGTCTTGATGGCACTGGCAGTGGGTGGTTTAGTTTGCGGTAATGTCTCCGCCTCTGTCTTTTGCTCCAACTCTATTGTCTTGCCATCGCCCTGGTCCTTCCTGCGCCGTAGATTGTAGCGCCCACCTGCCTGGTTCTCTGATTCAGTCTCTGTCTTCTCCTGTTGGAACATTTCAATAAGAGAGCATACTAAATTTGATTACTTTATTCATAAAAAGAATAAATACTAAATATATTTTTAAAGACATCAATACTTTCATTCAGCAGTGATGCGTAAAAGGTGACAGTAAAGACATTTATGCTACAAAAGATTTCTATTTCAAACAAAAATCACAACTGTTTTCAACATTTAATAAGAAATGTTTCTTGAACAACAAATACTAGAATGATTTCTGAAGGATCGTGTGACACTACAGACCGGAGTAATGGCTGCTGAAAATTCAGCTTTGTCATCACAAGAATAAATTACATTTAAAAGAAAATCAATAAAGTTACTTTAAATGTTATCAATATTTTACTGCATTTTTGTCAAATTAATGCAGTCTTGGTGAGCATAAAAGCCCCAACTTTTGAACAACCCCAATACAGCCACTGCTTTCCAGGTTAAGAATCCAATGAAAAAAGTGTTTTATGTACATATTTGTATTGTGTCATGCTTGAGCACAAAGTTTCAGTGGCAATCAATCTCAACGTCAGTCCAAGTCAAGAAAAGAAACATTAGGATTACACGGTCGTACTAGTGTAAAGCTAAAGCCATCTGGTAATGCTTTGTAAAGCCCATTCAATTGTCCCATGAGCAGAAACATGCTGAAAAATGTGAGGGTATGATTAAACAGAGCCCACAGTCAGCTTTAGCTTTGTGTGCACAACTAAATGGGCTCCTGTCACACATGAGAGGCACAACATGCATGCATCATGACATTCCAGCCTTAACTACAGCAGTTTCTAACATCTGACAGGAAACATTAAGGAGGTTCTATTGTTGCTAGCTAGTGATTTAAGACATTAATGAAATGGGAATCCATGATGTATTCATACCTCAGTGATTGTGGAAGCTGTATTAGCTGTATTATTTTCCTCTTTCTTCTCATGTTTGCTGTTGCTATTGTTCTCGTGTGTCACCGGCTGAAAGAGATGGCAGTCAAGGACACATAAAGTGAACCCATGAGGAGAGACAAATGAGTTAACAGCATTAAAATGCTTGAGTTAACTGCTTTAAATTAGATTAAACTCCTTTACTTATAATCAACCGGAATACAATTTATGTCAAAATATATTAAAACAGAAAAATAGTTTAATTTAAAAGTTGCTTTAAATTGTAACAATACTTCAGAATTTTACAGTTTTTACTGTATTTCTAATCATATAAATGCAGCCTTGGTGAGCATGAGACTTCTTTTAAAAAGTTCTAAAAAGCTTACCAAAATTCGTGTTAAATCTCAATATGAAAGGACTAATGTTTTTTTTGATACTATATATCAAATATACTATAATGTACTTGACATCCTGAACATGCTAAATATCAGACAGAGCATGAAGGGGGGGGGGGGGGGGGGGGGGGGGGCGCAATCA